CCGTGCATTTAGGCCGCGGCCTATACAATAGATGTCCTTGTTTATCCTGTAAGATAAACACATCTACCGTATAGGTCGCGGACTAAGTGCACGGTGTAAACGTAGCCAATGTCTTTCCGAACGCACCTATAATATACGAATACGGTCATGATCTCACCTATCTTCTTCCATCATGATTCGTGGAGTCGTGGGACGAATGCGTCGCAACTCGCAAGCAGTCGCTAGTAAGTCGTCTCACCTGATAAGATCTTATTTAGGTCTCTTAATTCTAACCGAATCGACTCCGAAGACAGAGTTAAGGCCATTTTATCTCGAAAAAGAAAAGATTTGATTCAACATACACTTTGCTCTTGTCGTTTCTTCATGTTCGTTTAATATTCTCAACGGAACGTTCGCTGTTTTTGGGTGCATTGAAAATTGGAATTCGCCCACGTAATATGCGTGTATATCAGTGTATATAAACTATGATATAAAAACGTAATGTAAAAATGAATGATCGTGAATGTATCTCGCAGTTTGCTTGTGAAATGTAGTGAAATACGTTGTTTGACATATCACTCAAGAAAGGTTTTTTTTATCATGAATAATTGATTGCGTTCTTTATTGTTGATTGATCACCCGATAAAATTTTCATGAAAAATTCGTTGAACCATTCAATTTTCTTCCTAATTTTGATGGTAAATGATGTGAATGTATTGTCTGTCGTCAAGATGCAAGGGTGCCGTCACATACAGTTCGCAATCTGTACCGGATGTCCGCAAAAGCATCTAGGGATTGCGTATGTACGGCAGATATTTCTCACGTAATCTGCAACTACGCGAGAGTTTTAGTGCAATCTAGTGCACATCAGAAAACAGATCATTTGTTGTATTTGCACTAATAACATATTCAAAGATTCATTATGCACTTCTAATTTCAAAATTGTTGTCAAACAAATTAATCAGTATTTATAAATTAAAGGTAGGTTATGGCACGTTTATTTTTGTTTGACGTCGGAGCAATTCCGTTGCGTGCTTACAAGCCGCATAATGTGGACGTGTAATATGTTTTATTTAAGAAGTTATTATGTTCATTTTTATTTTATTTTATAAGAAAATTACAGAATATGTTTTGATTAT